CTCCACGCCAACATGTAGCTAACATCAACACCTAGATCTGATTTCACGTCATCAATAATGTCCTTCGGAGTGTATTTCCTCTTATGGTTTTTAAGCTTTGTCCTTATAATACCACTTATAAGGCTGCTACTAGCCTACTGCTGCTCGTACACTTTATCCTTCAGCGGACATGTATGGTTGTCATTGAATTCTCTCACCTTGAATAATTCCGATTTGTTAATGCTTGAAGCCTTAAACCTCCAATCACAATCTTCTGAAATACATATTAATGCATAGCTGGAAAGAAAAGTTCATACATCAGACAACTTAACGAATCTGACATATATACTTCCTATTCATAAAGTACCAAATTGATATCTGTGTATATGTAATTTTGTATACTAACGAATTCCAATATTGTTAGATGTGATTAAATACAATAAATACAACTAAATACATTCGTATGAATAATCAAACACTTAGTAACATTATAGACATAATATGAAAATAATCATAGCCATTGTTTTATTTTTTCAATAGTAAAATACACCTGAATACATATTATTAAGAATACTAAAAAAATATAAATTTTCAAAGGTGTTCATCATCTGGAGGAAACACACAACTACAACTAAATACAACAAAGTTAAACAAACATCAAACCTGACAGCATTAGACCGATCAACACGGAATTGAAACCTTTGAGCTATAGCATAATTCTCCATCACCTCTTTCAATGTAGCCTTATCCTTATAAACTTGTCCAGCCATAACCTCCTTTTGATTAGTTTTTGAAATTATCAAATCCTTGTGGAGTTCGAACACTCCAATCGCTTCTCCTGAATTGGCAAGTTCTATAGATAGTGTATCATCTGTATCGAAATCGTACATTTGAACTGCTTCGTCTATCTGCACAATGTCGCCTTGATTTAAACCATCTCCGGAGATAAGCTCCTTTTCCATAGTTGTAATGCACAGAGGATACATCCAAATTCTCTGTTCTCTTTTTTTCAATTTTACATACACTTTGTAACCCATATCATTGTGTATTTCCATTGGCGTGTGATTGCCTTCAACATTGTATTGTATTTTAATGGTATTTGTGCTCAAATCTATACCCAGTTGATTAGAAATTGAACCAACTAGATCATTAAAGGAAGCATACTCCTTAATCAGTATTCCCTCAATGGAAAAGTCGATATAATTGCCCTAATCGTTCCACTTTCCAGAATGACGCAACAAAATTGTCAAGCTTGCCATATATATAGAAGAGTTATACCTTCTTCTGTATATAATCTGTATCAATCGATAAGGAGGAGAAGAAAATCGCACAATATAGAAGCAAGTTGCTCTGTTTCTTCGCTTCTTTCACGTTTCTGTATTTATGACTTTGAGAAGAATACAGATTGATGGGATAACTTTTAAGTTTGTTGAGTAAAATTAGGGAAATCAGAATTGATTTGATTTCCTTCCGTTTTAACATCTTCGTCGACCCAGATATTGCGCAGATACGTTACGTATTTAGCGCTACATACGTTTGAATACAAGTAAATACATATCAGGATTAGCAAGATTTCCTTTTTGTACGACGCTAATTTTTGTTGTATTATTACATACACTACCTTAAATACATTGTAGAATTGCATAAAAGATATCTATAGGACGTAATATAGCAAAGGGTTTCTATTAATGGCTAATTAGGACTAAAAGATGGTGCTTTGTGAAAAATTCTCTAATTTATTATAGGAAAACACAATACAATACTGCGTTTAAAGGAAACGCAGTATTGTACTGCGTTTTCTTATAATAAATTATAGGGACCCTTCTTCTTCCTTGGATTCACGACAGAAGTCATTGTTTAATCCCCCTCCACTGCTGGTCCCCCCCCCCCC